CACACACACACACACACACACACACACACACACACACACACACACACCCCTCATATAGCCAGGTGTCCAGACATAGTTCATTAGGCTTGAGTTTAATGGGGCATCTTTCATCCTCTCCCCTAGGGTCAACTGGAGGGTCCTGGAGCCAGGAGCTTTGGAGAAATATTTCCTTACAGGGCCTATCTGGGCACTCCCTTGGTTGCCGGTCAGTGTGCACCTCAGACTGTGTGAGGCAGCTGAGCCCTGTCTTGGATGCTAGAGAGGAAACAGGGCAGGCTCTGGGATGGACTTATTAGGCATGAATACCCAGAGGAAGTAGTGCCAGCTGGTAGGAAACAGTGGAATCATCAATCAGTCAATCAATGGGACCCACAGTGTATCCAACCCTACATAGAGAGCTATCGGGGAACTAAGGCAACTATGAGACATGGTCCCTGCCCTTAAGGACCCCACAGTTGCCTGGGGAGATAAGATTAATGCACATGAATCAATTAGAAAACTATTTAGTCCAAACTATGAAAACCATAGAAGCTTAAGGGAAAGGAGACCATAGGCAGAGGAGCCAGGGAACACTTCCTGGAGAAGGGAAGAGCTTAGTTGGGTTTTGAAGAATGAATAAGATTTAGACAGGGAGCAGCTGCAGACACCTTACTCTTCCCAGTTCCTCTTCTCCCTCACCATTAGAAGTCAGTTTGTCCCCAGTTCCCTCTTGAAAGCTCCCTGCTCAGCATCCTGAACACCTCTGCCTCTTTCTCTGAGGCTACAATGTAAAGATATGACCATAATGCACTGGGCTATCTCTAGCTCAGAAGGTGTCCTGCTGATTCAGCATCTGAATATTCCAATATTTCTGTATAAAACATTTTTTCTCTTGTGTGACCTCAAGGAAGACCTGGCTTCCTTAGCCTCATAAGATCATTGTGGAGAATATCTTTTTTATTACTCAGTCTTAGAGGAGCTCACAGTGTAATAAAAAAGATAAGATCAAGATACTTCCCCAATTTCCTTCTCTCTTTCTGCTAAATGGAACTAGAAGAAACCTCAACTGTGCTTACTGAGTACACTGTAAACTCGTGTTATTCTACTTCAGCTGGGCCCTCAGTAAAGCAAGACAATTCTTTTATTCCTCCCTAATGGATTCCCTATGTCACTCCCACAGGAGCTATTCCAAATCTTCTCTTAATAATAGCTAGCATTTATATAGCACTTTAGGTGCTATTATATTCCCCATTTTACAGATGAGGAAACTGAGGCAGGCAGTGGTGATGTGATCTACCCAGGATCACATAACTAGTAAGTGTCTGAGGCTAGTTTTGAACTCGGGTCTTCCTGACTTCAGGTCCAGTACTCCATCTGATCTTAGAGCCCAGAAGACTAGGCACCCAAGAGGAGGGGCTTTCCTGTTCATAACATAAATGTGAATGAGTGTCAGGAGATCATGGGATCATAGTTCAATGTACCTTTAGAGAATGGGGCTGATGATACCCTGTGAAATAAGGAAGCGTGAGAACGTGACTACCATTCAATCTTGAGAATTCAGGTATTCTTTTCTTAATGACTGAAACTGAACCTCTCCCACTCATCAGCCCTGGGGTCCCTCAAAGCTACCTTTGGCAGCTGGTGTCCTGGCACTCCTGCCCCAGGGGAGGGAGGACAGAGTGACCTCAGTGTCCCAGCTCAGCTCCAGTTTCTGATTCTTTAATATCCTCATTCATTGTGCCAGTCTGCTGCAGGGCCACAATGGGTAGATTGGGTGTCCTATCACTGGCTCCCTTTCCCAGACCAGAGTGAGAAAAGGGCAGTGGGTCTGGAGGAGGATAAGCTGGTGAGGGTCATTGGTGCAGCCATGAATTCATTCAATAAGTAACCTGAGAAGTCCCTGAGGCTCCCCTGGAGCTGGCACCATATTCACTGGTCATGGTCTGTTCTGTTATGCTTTGTGGATTTTCATAGACAATGGGACCTGGAATGCCACACCAGGTGATCTGTCAGCCTTAGCTCAGTGCAAAATGCAGCCTTCCCAGTGCAGGTGTGAATTCCAATTAGATCCAGGCTGGTACACCTCCAATATCCTGTCCTTGCCTTCCCCCCCCCCTCGCCCTTGCAGGGAAGCTGGCATTAAACTGAAGGCACATTTGGGCTGCTAGGTAAAACATTTATTAGCTCTGGAACCCTATACGTGCCTAGATTAATGCAGCAGCTTTCAGACTGCAGGTGTTACCTAATCCCAGCAGTATCTGTCTAACAGAAAGAAAGGGAAAGAGGGGCCAGTGGTAGCAGCTTGGGGCTGCTAACAACACTGACCTTGGAGTTGAAGTATTTGGGTTTGTCTCAGCTCTACTAGCACCCTGATATTGTGCCACTCACTTCCTGTCTCTGAACCTCAGTTTCCCCTTCAGTAAAATGAAGGGGTTTGAGTAGAACAAGCTATTTTGTATCATGGACCCCTTTGGCAATCTGATGAATCCAATAGACCTTTTTAATTTTTTTATTTCATTTTTAATTTATGGAATAAAACAAGCATTTCCATAACATAGTGTAAAATAAATGTATAAAATAAAAAACAAGAAAACAAAGGTTGGTGAAAATAAGATGCAAAGAGAAAACTGTCTACAAGATCTGCTCTTAAGAGCCCTGGCTCTGTTTCAGAGGACCTGGGTCTCAAACCCCAGCTTTGATGTTTCCTACCTGTGTGGCTGTGGACAAGTCACTTAACCTCCCTGGCCCTCAATTTCCTCTTCTGTCAAATGAGGCGGTTGGACTTAGGTGGCTCTGGCTGATAAACTGGTGCTAGATATGCCTCTAGGAACCTACAAAGAGTAAGGCCAATGTCTCCCTCAGTGATGGCTCTTCAGATGCCTGAGGTGAGTTTTCATGTTTCCCCACAAGTCTTCTCTCCAGATTAAGCATCTCTAGTTCCTTCAATTGATCTTTGGCTGACATGGTTTCAAGAGCCCTCCTATTTTCAACAAACATTTATTAAGCACCTACTGTGTTGCTGTGGTAAGCACAGTGGGATGTGACATCTTGGAAAAAATCTTGAGGTCCCCCTCTCAGACTAGAAGCTTCCCAAGGCTAGGCATCCATTCTGCCCCCACATCAGTGGCTCCTCCAAGGCAGGGACTACAGCAGATTGGGGCTTCATAAGGGTGGGCACCATGTCAGAGGATCAGAGATACAGAATTAGACAGGACCTCAGAGGACATCAAGTCCAACCCTCTCCCCTCATTTTCCAGATGAGGAAGCTGAGTTTCAGGGTGGTTAAATGATTTGCCCAAAGCAGTTAAGAATCAGAGGTGGGATTTGAACCCAGGTCCCCTGACTCCCAAGCTAGTGATATTTCCATCATACCCTACTGTCTTCCCCATTAGACTAGAAACTTCCTAAGAATCGTCAGCCAGCCTCCTCCAAACTTTTTGAGAAGGAATCTTTGAGTGGCTCCTTGAGAATGGTGCTGACCATCCCATCCTTTCCTTCCAATACACTGGAGAAAAGTTCTACTGCATCATGGTATCAGATTTAAAAGCTCATTGGAAGGTGTCCACATGCACATGCCTGGCCCCAGCCTTGGGCATCTTTCCTAATTGGAGAAAGAAGTGGCTATTTGAGAGGGGACAATGCAGTTTCTGTCATTGGGCTTATTATAGAGCCTGGCATCCAGCAACTCAAAGGAAGATGCTAGATGGTGATTTAGGAGAGTCAAGGTCAGGAAAGAGATGAACTGAGGTGGAGGGAAGAAACTTCTGGGTGTCATTACCGCTGATCATGCCAGCCAGCTTGCCAGGCCAGCTGTCTCTCAAAATGAACACCTGGGAAATCCAGCTCAACTTCTCTGCCATACCAGGCACACTAACATCCTACCATCAAGGACCAGAGTTGAAGGGATTTGGGGGAGGTTCATGCAGGCACCAGTCACCTCCTACATCCAACATGGGAGTCAACATTCACTCACCCCACCCCCCAACATAGGAATATTCTTTCCCTCCTAAAAATTTCCTAGAGTACTTGGTCCATATTTTTCCTTTGTCTCTCACTCCCAACATGCAAGCTTCTCTGTCTCTTTATCTGTGTCTGTCTTTATCTATGTCTCTCTCTCTGTCTGTCTCTCTCTCTGCCTCTCTGTCTGTCTGCATCTGTCTGTCTGTCTGTCTCTCTCTCTCTCTCTCTCTGTGTCTCTCTCTGTGTCTCTCTCCCCTCTCCCAATTCTGTGTGTTTGTGTCTTTGCCTTTAAAGGTTGTTTGTTTTAAGGGCAGCTAGGTGGCACAGTGGATAGAGCACTGGCCCTGGAATCAAGAGGACCTGAGTTCACATCCAGCCTCAGACGTGTAACACTTACTAGCTATGTGACTAGCTGTGTGACCCTGGGCAAGTCACAACCCCAATTGCCTCACAAAGAAAAGTTATTTGTTTTAATGGGATATATTTTAATTAGCATTACCAAGCATTTTTCTCCTTCTGACCACCCCACCTGCAAAAAGAGATAAAGAGAGAAAGAAGGAAGGGAAGGGAAGGAAGGAAGGAAGGAAGAAAGGAAGGAAGGAAGGGAGGAAGGAAGAAAAGAAAGAACACCTGTAATAAATGAGCGTAGTTAAAACAAATTCCCACATTGGCCATGTCCAAAACTGTGTCTCATCCTACATATTTAGTTCATCATTCTCTCTGTTAGGAAGAGGGAGGTAGGAAATAAGCATTTATATAGCACCTATTATGTTCCAAGCACTGTGCTAAATGTTTTACAAATATCTCATTTGATCCTCACAATAACCCTGAGAGGTTATTATTATTATCCCCATTTTATAGTTGGGGAAACTGAACAAGCAGATGTTAAGTGACTTGCTCAAATTCTCACAGCTAGTGTCTGAGGTCAGACTTGAACCCCAGTATTCCTGACTCCAGGCCCAGCAATGTAACGACTGCACCACCAAGCTGCCTCATAGCTAATGGGCAATGTGTTTCATCATTGGTCCTCTGAAATCATGGTGAAGAACTCTTTCTATATACTAAAAGAAGGACAATGTCCTAACAGAACCAGATGATGCCTGAATACTGAGTCATTCTCCCCCCCACCCACCCACATACACACACCTTTCCATCCTCTTCCCTCTTCTTTGGCTCACATGGAAGATACAGTAGCCTTACTAATGAAGCCCAAAAAATGGCAGACCCAGAATAGAAATGGCGTCTTGTAAGTGAGAGCCAAAATCCAAGTTTGTCTACCTGGGTTACCATGTCCACATGCTAATCATTGCCGTTCTCCTACATTTTCCATCTCTTATTTTTCCTAAGGATTATTGTAAGGAAAATGCTTTATAAACCTTAAACCACTTTATAATTGTAATTGTTACCATAATTACTACTGTTACCATTATTATTATTACTCAAGTCCAGCTCCAATATTTCTTCTGATGTCTTGGGTCTTTGAAGGCTTCATCAACAGAGCACCGGTTCTAATAGGTCCTTTCTAATTGGAAAGGCTTTGAGTATGGCCCAGTGGTAGCTTGTATGTCTATCGTCCAAGGAAACAGCCAAGTTTGGAGAGGCACATTACCAGATTGGTCTCGTGGCAATGAATTTTGTGGCCACTGAAGCTCAATTGTAAAACCATAAAATTTTAGAGAGACTGTGATCTGTATTCATGAAGGGAGGCCTCCACCCACCAACCACATAGATTAGGGGTCTTAACCTTTTTTATGGTTATGGTCCTCTTTGGCAATTTGATGAAGCCCCAGACCCCTTCTCAGAGTAATGTTTTTAAATACATAAAATAAAATAAATATGATTACAAAGAAAAGCAATTATATTGAAATACAGTTATCAAAATATTTTTAAAAACAAGTTCATGGATCCTTGGTTAAGAATCCCTGTCACAGATGAAATCCCAGTATAAATAGGACTATGGATAGAGGAGCACTGGACTTGGATTCAGGAAGGCAGAAGTTTATATCCTTCCTCAGACACTTAAAAACTGTGTGATCCTGGATAAGTTGTGTAACCTCTCTCAGACTCAGTTTCCCCATCTGTAAAATGTAAATTTGTGAGGTTAAAATGAAGTATTATATTTAATGTGCTTTGCAAACCTTAGAGTAATACATGAATGTTAGTAACCTTTGTTGTTCTGATTTTTTTAATTTAATGTCTTATTAAATAGACATTTTGGTTTTACATCGAAGTCATTCCTGGATAGATCCTCCACTACTAGGAATTGAATCCTCCCTTGTAACAATAAAAGACAGTTAAACCAAAGCAAATGACATAGTAACTATTTGACGAAACATGCAACATTCTGTCCCCTTAGTCCTCCACATCTCTACAGAGAAATGAAAGTTATGTTTCCTTATCTGTTCTCCTAGTAGTATTAGTAACGAAGTGTTGAACCTGAAGTCAGGAAGTCCTGGGTTCAAATCCTTCAGCCACTTACTAGCTATGTGGTTATGGTTGAGTCCCTCTCTTAGAGCCTCAGTTTTGCCATCTGTAAAATGGTAATAATGGTAATAATTATCCTTTCACTCACAGGGTTGTTGTGATGAAAACACTTTACAAAACCTTAAAACATTCTAAAAAAGGAGTTATCGTCATGATTTTAGCAGAAATATTCAGCTATTCTAAATAACTGTGTTTGCTTTCTACAGTTTTTATGAACACGGCAATCCCTATCGCAGCAGTCTTGATTGTAAGTAATTGTTTCTTTCTTCTTAAAGAAGAAGTTATAGGATTGGGGGCGGGGGAGAGGAGAGGAGGCAGGAGAATGGAGTTGAAAGGGGACTCATTGTTTGGACTTTCCCTACAGTCTTCTTAGCTGGCTTGGGTTGGGGGCGGGGGGAGAACTGTGTTCTGAAAGTGACCTTGACTCAAATGTGGGTCAAGATGAAAGCTTGCTTTATTTTCTCATTTCAAATGGCTGCCCACCCACCTGCTGAAAGGATTGGGATGGGGAGAAGAACCAAGACAAGTCAATAGGAATACATTAAGTACGTGTCAATTGCTGTGTGTGCTAAGTGCTGGGGGTACAAAAAAAAAAATTTTCCCTGCCCTGAAGGAGCTTACAGTCTGTTGGGGGAGACAACAGGCAAAACTATGCACAAAAAAGATACAGACAGGAAAAAATGGAGAGGATTTCAGAAGGAAGGCACTCATATTAGAGAGAATCAAGAAAGGCTTTGGGCAGAAGGTATGATTTGAGCTATCTTTTTTTTATTTTTTTTTTGCAAGACAATTGGGGTTAAGTGACTTGCCCAGGGTCACATAGCTAGTGTGTCTAAGGCTGCATTTGAACTCAGGTCCTCCTGACTCCAGGGCTGGCGCTCTATCCACTGTGTCACCTAGCTGCCCCCAATTTGAGCTATCTTGAAGAAGGCTAGGAGATGAGGATGAGGAGGGAGAACATTCCAGGTGTGGAGGACAGCCAGTGAAAATGCACAGTGATGGTGGTAGATGGAGTGTCTTGTTCAAAGAACAGTAAGGGCACCAGTGTCACTGGATTGGCAAGTATATGGAGAGAATTGAAGGCACAAGAGGAGAGTTAAACATTGAAAGAATACCCAGGAACCCCCACACACACAGACCCTGAAGGAGCCCTCACTTACCCCAGCTATGATTTTTAAAGAACACAGTCCCGAGCTCACTCCCTATCAATCATGCCTGGGAATTCACTTTATGGAACCTGCTTTGTCTGGACCCTGCACAGGCTGAATGCAATTTGTCTTGGTAATAGATGTCTTTAGAGGCAGCAAGGCAAGGAAAGGTTAGAGGGGAAAGGAGGCTATTTCATAATCACTGTGTTCCCATTTCCCATCTGACCACATAGAGAGTTACTTACTGCCTGAAGGAACAGAGTAGTGGTTATCTAATTCACGTTTCCTCCTGAACAATAGAAAAGGAAGGAGAGAGGGAGGGAGGGAGGGGAAAAGAGAGGTATAGGGCATTAACTCTTCACTCCCTAGGGCCACCTTTTTTTGTTGGTATCTTTTGTTCTTAAATCACTTTCATTTCTAAGAATATATCCCCTGCTCTCTTCTACCCTAAGACTTCATCCCTTCTACCAAAGAATAAAAAAGAAGGAAAAAAGCAGTTCAGCAACACTAATCAACACCCTAATCCTAAAGGTTCCTCATTCATGGTCTAGATCAGGAGTTCTTACCTTTTTTGTGTCATGGACCCCGCTAAAAGTCTGGTGAAGCTAATAGACCCCTTCTCAGGACAGTATTTTTAAGTGCATAAAATAAAATACACAGGATTACAAAGGAAACCAGACAAATTAAAATAAAGATGTAATTTTCCCCATCCAAGTTCACAGACCCCTCTGAAATCTGTCTGTAGGCCTCATTGGCTCCAGATTAAGAATCCTTGGTCTAGAAAACCTAGTGAGGAATTGAAAGAGCACAGTCCCCAGAGTCAGAGAACCTGGAGTCAAATCCCAGCTCTGATGCTTAAAACTGCGTGACCTTGGTCAAGTCTTTTTACTGCCCTGGGCCTCAGTTTCCTCATCTGTAAAATGAGAGGATGGACTAGAAGTATCTAACATATTATGTCCTACAACATTCCCAAGAGAGGCCAGAACCAGATTAAAATGTAACTGGGAAATAGTTAACAAAATAAAAGCACAGTAGAATACAGATTATGAGGCAGCTAGGTAGCTCAATATAGAGTCCTGACCTTATAGTCAGGTAGACCAGAGTTCAAATCTGGCCTCAGACACAGACTAGTTGTGTGACCCTGGACAAGTCACTTAATGTCTCTTTACCTCTGGAGAAGGAAATGGCAAACCTTTCCAGTATCTTTGCCAAGAAAATCCCGTGGATAGTATTGGCGTGATGTGATCCACAAGGTCACAAAGAATTGGACATGAATGAACAGCAAGGACACGGATAATGTTAATATGTTTTCTAAGTCAATTTACTGCTTTCAGGGAGACATATGTATGGTTTAGCACCCCCTGATTCTATTTGAGTTCAACTCTACGGGACTAGCTGACACTGAGGTCTCTTCCAGCTGTAAATTCATGGTTGAGTGATCCTGTGACGATGTCTCCACCACCTGACGAGGGTCCCTCAGGCTCTACAAGCTCCTCCTCCTCCTCAGATCTCACCCTTTCTCACTAACCCTCTTCTCTTTGGGCCCAGGCCCCCAAATTCTACTGCCCATGCCCTGATCCTACTTCCCAGATGTCATTTCTCTGTCCTCCAGACATTCGTGAGCCATGTCAGCTTCTTCAAAGGGGCCAACTTCTCTCCATCGGTGGCTTTTGCATCTCTCTCCCTCTTCCACATCCTGGTCACACCCCTGTTCCTGCTGTCCAGTGTGGTCCGGTCAACCGTCAAAGCTCTGGTCAGGTAAGAGGAAACACCCATCCCACTCCCCTCCCCAGTTCCTTCTGCCATGTAGTGAGAACGAAAACACCGTCCCTCTTCTAGAAACCTGCTCTGAGAGTCAGGGTGGACACACCTGGGTTCATCTATATGAGGGATGCAACTTCATTGACTGGTGATGACAGAGCAGCTGGCCTCACTTCTTCTGGTCTACACCAGCTATATCCCCCCCCCCTCACCTCCCCATCAGCACATTAACCAATCAGCCTGGACCTCCCGGGGCCCAGGAGTGAATGCAAGGTTAGCTACTCCCTGTCCAAGGTTCTGGGGAAGGCACCAGGAATGGGGGAGGGAAAGGAGGCAGGGGCAGGACTTTCTTAGTTTCCTAGTCAAAGGAATGCTTCTTAACCCACCCTCTTCCTTGACCAGCTAGTCCCAATAAAATTATGAAATTTGCTGGGGGAGAGAGATATCTTTCCTTATTATATTTTTCTGCCTCATAGGAATCTGTCCCTCTCTGAGAGTTCTGGACTCTTCCCCACCCCCCACCTCCCCTTATCCATCAACCAACAAGCATTTATTAAGCACTTACTATGTCTAAAGAGAACTTCAGTGACTAAAGAATCAGTCTGGGAGTCAGGAAGAGATGACTTCATATCCTGCCTCTGACACACACTGACTCTGACCTTGAACATAACACAGAATCTCTCAGTGTCCTCAGGCAACTCTCTTAAGTCTATAAGTTTCAGGGTAATTACTAATCAATATTGGTAGAAGCTACTTCCTCACTAAGGAAATTACAGGATCATAGCTCTACAACTGGAAAGGACCTCACAGGCCACATAGTGCTATAGGCCAACTCATTTTACAGAAGGGGAAACTGAGACACAGCATTTAAGTGACTAGCCCAAGGTCATTTAGGTAATAAACATCAGATGGGATGCAAATCCAGACCCTTTGACTCCAGGTCCATCAATCTTTCTGCTGAAATTATTTCTAGGTTGGGTATTTAAACAAACAAACAAATAAAAATCTCCCAAGAAAAGATCTGATTGTCATTCATATTGAAATATGGAGACTTGATAAGAAGTTAAACACTTAGCCCTCCCAGGGCCATTTACACTTTGGTGCAAGCCAGCAGTTGAGCAGTTAGATGGCACACTGGATAGAGCACTGGACCTAGAGTCAAAAAGACTCATCTACCCGAGTTCAAATCTGGCCTCAGACACTTAATGGCCATGGGATCCTGGGCACTTAATTCTGTTTGCCTCCGTTTCCTCTTCTGTAAAATGAGCTGGAGAAGGAAATGGCAAACCACTCCAGTACCTTTGCCAAGAAAACCCCAAATGGGGTCACAGAGAGTCAGATATGACTGAAACAAATGAATAACAAAAGTAAGCAGAGGGATGCACATCTAAACTAGACTCTTGGGCCTCGAGGGGGAGGGGAGATTCTTCCCGTCAGCTCATCCCACTCTCAATTATCCCATAGGGAAGAAAGTATGTTCAACCCTGCCCTGTGAAATTGGCTCATTGGGCAATCCCACAGGAGTCCTGGTCCTTCCTACCTATGGGGAAGGATGGCTCCCTGTCCAGTGATAAGCTGGTAGGGAACATAGCTGTCAGAGCAGAGTAGTTGACAACCAGGAATCATATCAGAGTAAGTTACCTCGCCCTGCTGAGGCAATCCTGTGTGGCCTCCACAGGGGTGGTAACACAGATAAGGGCACATTAGGGGAGCTTTCTATTAACCAACCAAAGGGTTCTATATGAAAACCCCAGAGGCAATTCATTAATCTTTCACTATTTGATAGGAGTAACATACAAATCCATCCAGGCCTGGGGTTTTTACTTGGGGAATTATTGAGGGCTCATCCAATTTCTTTTTTAGAGAAAAAAAACTAGAAGAATATCTCTAATAAATATTGATGTAAAATATTGAATAAAATATTAGAAAAGTGCCTACAGCAATCTGCTTAAGAAATTATTAACTAGGACCAGGTTGAAGTTATGTGAGGGGAAAAACCACAAATGCATAGATGCCTAACCTTCCAAGGCAGTTGTGGCTAGCTGGTTATAAATCAGGAGTTTCTATATGCAAACCCTCACGGGTGCACTTAGTGTCCAGGAGACCAGCCTGCGTAACTAGGCAGTTAGGTCACAGACCTTTTCATTTGGAGGGGAAACAAACAGAGGAGAAGGATGGGCCTCTTCTCTCCCCTCACCCCAAGATGAGCAGCCCCTCCACCTCTTCCTGAAATCGTTGTGACCTTAATAAGTTCCCTTAGGTCATGGGGACAGGCAGCTGGAAAAGGTCAGGCTTGAATTCATACAGGCCTGTCAACTTGTCCTTCCTGGGGATTTACAAATGCAATGCTGAGTGTGGATTAGAGACAACTGGCAAGAATCACAAGGACACAGCTGCCACTTGGCTCCTTCATCCTCCTCCAGCTCCTAACAGCTCCTGTTTCTTCATGGGTTAGAGAGCTGAAGGGGCTGATATGTGCTCATCTCTAAATCCAACTCTGAAGTAAAGACAAGGAAAACACCTGGGGCCCTGGGTAATTTCTGATTCCCGTTCAGAGGCAGACTCTGGGATCATAGATCCAGAAGCTGGGAGGGAGTTTAGCAGTCATCTGGGCCATCTTCTTCATTTTATGGATGAGGGGATTGAGGTCCATAGAGGTTAAGTGACTTGCTCAGGGTCACACAGGTACACCTGGGAGTTACACTCAATCCAGTGATGAAAGAGGGATAGGAAGGAGAGGATAGGAGTGGAGAGGAGCTGTTTGACTTCCTGGGACTCCCAGGCATCACTGAGACCATCTCACACACTGTGGTGGAAGGAATTCCATGGGGGTAAAGAGTGGGTAGCTAGGAAGAGAAATGCACTGCCCTAATCCCAACAATAACTAATTGACCTTGATCTTAAAATCATTGCCCACCCTTCCCCCTCCCCAACCCATGACACACACCCACAGACTTCCGGGAAGAGCAATCACACCCACCTGCTTGTAGATGCTGAGGAGCTACCCAGCCCTGACTTTCTTCTCTTTGTACTGAGTCTCTGAGGAGCAAGAAGTGTTGGGTCAAGAGACCTCCTCCCACCCCCAGAATGAGGGGAGCTGCCCTCCCCACCCTGGGTACCAGTCTATATGCATGCCCAGGACATGAGACCTCTGCTCTCTCCACAGTGTCCAGAAGTTAAGTGAGTTCTTGTCCAGTGAGGAGATTGGAAAGGATCAGTACTCCCAGCATGAGCTCCCTTATAAGGGCCAGAGCAGCAAATCTCAGGCAGTGGTGAGTTCCTCTACCCCTGACCTTTTCTTAGATGGGCTTTGGAGCTCATGCCCAGACCTTTCTCCTTCTCTGTCCCCGCCTGTGTAATGAGGGAGAGAGTGAGTGTTGGACTCCCCCACTGCATAGTGAGTGTCTTATGGGTGACCACACTGAGGAAGATGCTCAGTAGGTTCCCCTCATAGCCACTCTGAGGTTTCTCCTCTTCTCCTATCCCTGAGATGAGGAAGGAACTCATCCATACACAGCACCCACCCGTCCCCCAACTCTCTCCACCTTCTCCCTCCCTGCCAAGCCACTCAAGGTTGTGAACCGTAAGCGGCCTTCCAGGGATGACTGTAGGAACTTCATGGGGCACCTGCAGAAACCGGGCCCCGACGAAGAGCCAGACGACAGCTGTGTGCGGGTGAGTCTGTACCCCTTTCATGTCCCTACACCTTGGCACCGTGAAAAATCTTGTCCTCATCCTTGACCCTAGTAGGAGACTTCAGGAACCCTGAAGGCCCAGAGCCAAATGACAACCCTCCCACCTCCTGGGTCTCCAGTTTATTCAGATGTCAAGATAAGCAAATATTAAGATTTTTTTTATAACCAACAGAGGCCCTGGAGGAGAACCTTACTTCTAGTATAGTTAACCTTCCTCCCAGAGAAAGGGCTCAGTCCCTAGGAGGGAATTGACTTTTTTAAGAAGATGAATGTGGGAAGGATGATCTCTTACACTCCTTTCATTCCCTGGAAATAATTCATCTGAATCAGAGTATGTGAGAAAGCAGAAGAGGATGAAAGGAAAAGATGGGAGATCTCAAGGCCTGTCCATCATTCTTTGTTCTTTTCTCTTTCTGGGCTGGGGGTCGCTGGTGATGAAGATCACAGGGGGATTCTTCACCTGGACGTCTGATGGAGTCCCCACACTCTCCAATATTGCCATCCGCATTCCACAAGGTACCAACTCACCCTCAGCCCAAGGCTCAGTCTCTCTCCCTCCTAAATAGCCTCTATGGGCCAAAAGAGCCCAAATTTTTATATTGACGCTTATGAGAATCTCTCACATCCCTGTGAAGAGAATCAGATTCTCCTCTTTCTCTTATCATTCAATTACCAAAGAGATAGTGTTCTTCTCCGCGCAGCCCCCCCCCCCCCCCGCCCCCAGTAGTCAGTCTTACTCTGGAATGCAGGATGGGGCAAAGCAATGTGTGAAAAGTCTTGCAAGTAAGAACTAGCAAGGTGTCTAGGGTGATGGGGGGGGATGAGGAGAGGATAATGGCAAATAAGAATGCATAGTCAAGGTGAGACCAAATTTTATGGATAGTCTTGAAAGTCATTAGGAAGTGAGAATAGAATTCAATGGGGAGGTGATCCAAGGGGTTTCTTCGGGGAAAGCAGAAGGAATTTGTGGCCCCAGAGACATGTATATGTGGACACTTTCTGGGCCCTGCCGTGCTTCTATCTCTGTCAGCCAGCTCCTCCTCTGTGCAGGGCAGCTGACCATGATCGTGGGCCAGGTGGGCTGCGGGAAGTCCTCACTGCTGCTAGCCACCCTAGGGGAGATGCAGAAGATTTCAGGGGAAATCTCCTGGAACAGGTAAGACAGTTGGGAGATGGGCTGGGCAGGGTGGGAGATCTCTCTCAATCACTGGGATTATTTTTCTTTAAAAAAAACAAACCAATTTGCACTGATGCTTTTTTATATGACTGTCAATCACTCCCCTGCTCCCGATAGTACCCTGTGTATAACAAAAACATACAGCTAAGCCAAACAAACTGACACATTGGCCATGAATGACAAGGTATGGTGATTCCACATCCATGGTCCACCACCTGCCAAGAAGGTGCTTCTGTGTCAGTTTTCTTAAGTCAAGATTGGTCACTGCAATTATCAGTTCTGATGATTTTCAATGTTGTGAGCATTATTATGGTCATTATATAATACCTGAGACTTTTCCAGAGAGGGAGAATCCCTCATCCTGCCCCTCCCCATAACATAAGATTGCTGAATTTGGAACTTGTAGAACCTGACATCAAATCCCAGCTCTGTGTTCTGTTACACCTTGGGTGAGTCAGTCTTCCTCAAGGATCCTCAGTTTGCCCATCTCTAAAATGAGGAGGTTAGACTAGATGACCTCTAAGGTCCCTTCCAACTCTAAATCTGCAGTCTAAGAGCTTAGCATGGGACACAGCTATGCTTACTGATGCATAGATGGGGAGGGGGTGAGGAAGCGCCTCTCAGTGTTTGCAGATCCCTTGAAAGTCATGAGGAAAAATTTAGGCTTAAGTGAGAATGGGGCTCAAAGGCGAGGAGATCCTAGGGGCCCTGATGTTTCAGTTTCAACTCCCTGGGAACCGTTTTGTTCCATCTTTACTAGACCAAAAATTAGCCTTCTTAGAAGAAGAAAGAAGCAAAAAATTTGACTAGTTAGGCTTTTCACTGTTCTGTTATCATTGCCCCAAGCACTGGTTTCATCCCTTCTCTGTTCCTCCTCTTCCCCCCAACACAGCTTTAAAAACAACAAGGGAATCCCCATGTTGTGGTATCTAATTTTCATAAAGAGCCTCAGCTCATTCTGGGTTCCTGATGCTATCTTGTGAATGCAGATCTCATAATTTGGGGTTAAGCCACTTGGGGACTTTGGATCCAACTTGCTTGCCTGAGCTATAATTCTGGTCTGTTCTCAGTCAGTTAGGTTTAAAGCCTTTTATTTGGGCAAACTTTGAAATGTTCCTCCCATCTCTCTATCTTCTTTTTAAAAAAGCAAACTATTTTTTGTTGTTTTATTGACAGTAAAGGAAGACAATATGTTTTCCTTTTATTCCAAGGAGACTATTTGTAATATCCTTTATTTCATTATCTTCTCATCACTGGCAATCTAAACTTCCCTTTCCTCCCACCAAGGGAAAGCCAAAAAGAAAAAAAAAAGTACAGACATTGTTCCCATCGCCTCCAAATCAGAAGAGTTCAGCCTATCACACAAATTGACCCAAAATTTGCAAAAGACAGTCTCTTTCCTTATAGGTCCCCTCTGGGTTTTTTCCCTTGTTTTTACAGAAATTTGGTCTTCCCATTCAAGGTAGGTGCTATATCTGAGAAGCAAAGATGCTTCCTGCCAAAAGCCAGGAAGGTTGTCCGCTGTGTTTAGCCTAGTGATCCATCTTCTGTTATCATCATCATAATGATTATAGCTGAAATCTAGTTAGCACTCTGCAGTTACAAAGCCCTTTACATACTGATCACCACAGTGAAGTAGGTCATAATTGACTGACTTTTTTTTTTAAAGCAGACCTGGAATGTCATCATTATAGGGAGCTCCCAGTAAGGAAACTCCCTTCACCAATACAGAGTAATACCTACTCTACAACTTTAGAGTCTCTGAGAGCTGCCTGGGGGCAATGAAAGGCCAAGTGACTTTCTCAGGGTTAAAGAATCAGTTATATCCATCAGGATCAGGACCTGAACCCAGGTCTTTCCGATTCTGAGACCAGTTCTCCATCTACTTTGTGACACTCCTTCTCAGCTAATGATGACAACAAATGTCATGTTTCTAAGCTTTACGTCAATGAAGAGCTTTATATGTACTGTCTCATTTATTCCTCACAACAACCATGTGAGATAAGTACCTCTGGGAATACAATTCCCATCTGTAGATGAGGAAACTGAGGCTCAGAGAAAATAAGTAATTTACCCAGAGTCATACAGCTAATAAGTTTCTGAGTGGAACCAAAGTCTTCTTAACCTCCGTCTTCCTTATTCCAAACCCAACACTCTCCCCACTACATCATGTTGCCTCTAAGTCTCCTCCCTCCTCACTGGGAAAGCCTTTCAGTGACTTTAAAGGGTGCTATCACTTCACTCCTAAGTCTTTTCTTCTCCAGACTAAACATCCTTCAACCACTCTCCCTCAGGGCCCTATTTGGGATGGACTTGTTCTGGTTTCTCTTCCTTGCCCTCTCTCTCACTTCTCAGTATCCTTAAAGTTCAGAAAATCTTTATCGAGTCTGCATAATAAAAATTGAGTTACACGAGGAGAGTGAAAATCCCAGAGAGTGACCAGGGCAGCCGAGATTAGCACTCAGAGTCTGGGGCACCTACTCCTACAAGGTCTCAGTTTTTATCCTTGCCCCATCCTGGGGATCAAGCTCTCTTCTGATTCTCTTTTTTTTTTAGGCAATTGGGGTTAAGTGACTTGCCCAGGGTCACACAGCTAGTAAGTGTCAAGTGTTTGGTCTGAGGCCAGATTGGAACTCAGGTCCTCCTGACTTCAGGGCCAGTCCTCTATCCACTGGACCACCTAGCTGCTCCTCTCTTCTGATTCTCTTGTGACAATTTGGGGTGAAGATAATAAGTGCCAGGAGAGCTTGTACCTTTTTGTTTTGGCTAGGTTATGCTAGGTGGGTAATTTCTTTTTTTTTCAACCAAAGACAAGGTTTATTAGAACATCTATTATATTGGACAGACTCTTAAGGAGTCTGAACATTAATATTGGCTAGATTATAAGAATCTAAGCATCTTTTTTAGTTTTTTATTAATTTATTTTGATTCATCAACAATCACTTCCATATGCTTTTGAGTTTAAAATTTTTCTACCCCTCCCTCCCTACCACCCACCCCAAGACAGCGCACAATCTGATATGGGCCATACTATTAAACATATTTTCACATTAATGATGTTGTAAGTAAAAATTAGAACCAATAGGAGGAACCTAGGTGGGTAATTTCTTGGATGACTTTCTCTGACCTTGAACTCTGATAGAATTATAGGGCTAGACCCAGAAGGGGGCTCAGAGGCCGTGGAGTTCAATCTCATTTTACAGATGGGGAAACTGTTGCACAGAGAGGTTATTTGTCCAGAGTTACACAACTAGTAAATATTTGAGGTGGAATTTGAATTCAGATCTTCCAGTACTCTAGCCACTACTCCACGCTGTGTCTCAACTCTTAAGAAGATAATTGATTTTTCCTCTTTTTTAATGCTTTAAAGGATCCCTGATTTCATCCCACCATGCAGAGTCCAGCCCTTCTCATGCCTTAGTAGATGGGCTTCATGCGTTGCTGTAACCAAAAAACTCATTATCTTGTAGCCAATATCAAAGTCTGGTCCCTCTCATATGACTTTGGGATTTGCCCATCTCAAGGGTGCTCTGCCCAAAACACATTCATCCCTTTTACAATGCAAGGTTCACTCAATCAACCAAGAAACCTCTCACCCACAGTCCTCCACGATCATTGGATAATCAGGGACCTCCCCTTCCTCCACCAAGAGAATAGAGGAGATAAAAAGAATTCACATCTAAAGCATCTCCCATCATTTAGGAAATAGAATAATTCAACCTGACACATAAGTCACCACTGGAGTTCACAAAAGATTTTGTCTCAGAACTGTGATTTTATTTATGTAGGTAACTCCCCATGAAGGCATTCCCTCTCCCAATGCAGATCAACAACCCATCTATACCTGAGAGTTTTAGAAAGTTGTCTGGGGCACTCAGAAGTTGTGACCTTCCCAGGATCATGCAGGCAATGTGTAACAAAAGGGAGGCTTTAACCCAGGTCTTCCTAACCTCCTACTGCTTCTCTCACAAAGGGTTAACACTTTTATTGCATTCTTTCAGATACTGCACACCAACTTCTCAAAGAAAACTGCCCTACATATTCTAACAGAATTGGGTTTAGCTTTAAGTGGGAAGGAAGGAAGAAAGAAAGAAAGAAAGAAAGAAAGAAAGAAAGAAAGAAAGAA